ATCATGTGTGCATATGTATGGAGTGTATGTGTGTGTGTGTATGTATAGAATGTATCATGTGTGCATATGTATGGAGTGTATCGTGTGTGTGTGTATGTATAGAATGTATCATGTGTGCATATGTATGGAGTGTATCGTGTATGTGTGTGTGTGTATGTATAGAATGTATCATGTGTGCATATGTATGGAGTGTATCGTGTGTGTGTTTATGTATAGAATGTATCATGTGTGCATATGTATGGAGTGTATCGTGTGTGTGTTTGTGTATAGAATGTATCATGTGTGCATATGTATGGAGTGTATCGTGTATGTGTGTGTGTGTGTGTGTGTGTGTGTGTGTATGTATAGAATGTATCATGTGTGCATATGTATGGAGTGTATCGTGTGTGTGTTTATGTATAGAATGTATCATGTGTGCATATGTATGGAGTGTATCGTGTGTGTGTTTATGTATAGAATGTATCATGTGTGCATATGTATGGAGTGTACTGTGTTATGTATGGGGTGTATCGTGTGTTCATCAACTTCCTGTAGCTCAGTGGTTACATGACTCACCTCTCATGCCAGAGACACAGGTTCTCTCCCAGACCCTGACAGGAGTGTATCGTCTATATGTATGGAGTGTATCATTTGAATATATGTATGGAATGTATTGTGTGTGTATATATATGGAAAACAAAGAACAAACCACTGTTATACAATGACTTGCCTAATTACCCTAACCCTACCCTAATTAACGTAGTTAAGCCTTCAAATGCCACTTTAAGCTGAACACTAGTGAAATGACTGCTGCTTGCTGGTTCAACACGTATCTTTTCTGTTCTGATGATTTAGAGAACGATGCAAGGCAGCATGTAGAAATTACTGTACTGATTTAGCCGAGAGATAACCATAAGAAACGTTACACAATGTGTGCAGTACCTCGAATGTGGATTTTTCGCGGTTGTTGAAAAGCATGAGGATTGTCATCTGGAATGTGGAAACCTGAAGAATGTGTTTCCTGGTATTGGAGCCTGTAACCTGAGCCCCGCCGACCATATCTGAGCCATCTTCCTGTAGGAAAAACACACACGCAGCACTGGAAGTTAGAGCGTTGTGCTTTTACCTCTACCGTCTGTGATGAACTTGTGAGCGAAAGTTTGAACCTTTTTGATTGGCCCATAAAAAGTGGCATTGAGGTCTGCTGAACCCATGTGATGCTGCAATGTGAGCTGCCTGCCACTGTGTTTGGCCAAATAAAACCTGCAATGAAAGAGGGAATATGAATGTATGGAAAAACCCATGAGGGAGCAATAAAGTCAAAGACATGTACAAATGTGACCCTAAACAACAAAAACCAGATGTATATTGGTAGGAATAGCCATACATTCATGCTGTCAAACAAATAAATTGCATGCAAAATAACATTTTGTATTTACACAATGTGTGTGTACTGGCAGTGTGGAAATATTGTGCATATACAGATGAGGTCAGAATTATTAGCCCCCCTTTGAATTTTTTTTCCTTTTTTATATATTTCCCAGATGATGTTTAACAGAGCAAAGAAATTTTCACAGTATTTCCTATAATATTGTTTCTTCTGGAGAAAGTCTTATTTGTTTTATTTCGGCTAGAATAAAAGCGGTTTTTAATTTTTTAAACATCATTTAAAGGTCAAAATCATTAGTCCCTTTAAGCTATATTTTTCTCCGATATTCTACAGAACAAACCATCGTTATACAATAACTTGCCTAATTACCCTAACCTGCCTAGTTACCCTAATTACCCTAGTGAAGCCTTTAAATGTCACTTTAAGCTGAATACTAGTGTCTTGAAGAATATCTAGTCTAATATTATTTACAGTCATCATGACAAAGAGAAAATAAATCAGTTATTAGAGATGAGTTACTAAAACTAGAATGATTAGAAATGTGCTGAAGAAAATCTGCTCTCCGTTAAACACAATTTGGGGAAAAAAATAAAACAGGGGGGCTAATAATTCTGACCTCAACTGTACATTGTATTAAAATATTGTGCATATAATTATTTTTGCAGCAATTTTTGCTATTGCGGTTCTTTCTTCTCTAATAAACGAGTTGTGCCTCAGAAGATGAAGATGAAATGGGTTGAAATATACTTTAAGACCGAACATATTAGCACACACATACAAATACAAGTATATAAACACAATAAATTTGGGATGCAATCAATCATGATTAATCTTGTGACAGCACAACCAAAAATACATCGTATGAGGCAAATTAGCATTTTCATTCCTATGCCAAAAATCTTAAGATTATTGACCTTACTCTATGTGGAATGTGGAAGTGCGCCTGTTTTCACGATTGTCTTAGAACTTTCCATTCAGTCGCCTATGGGAGAAATGACTAGGAATAATAAACGGCAGAAAACAGTCGAACTACTTGCTCTACAAACAAATGTTTGCATGACTATACAGACCCAGCAGAATAATATAATAAGGAAATATCAGTTTACAACATCAAACAGCGAAACGAGCAGCTTTTAACGTCTAAAAATGAATGGAAGTGAATGAGACCGGAAGTCTCCAGCCAAAAAGATTCCAATGGCAGCGCCCGCTCATCAGCGGAGAATGAGGTGAATTAAGTAAAAATAAACTTTTATGAAGAGATTGTGTACATTTCCTACCGTAAACATATTTTAAAAATCATTTTTGCTTAGTAATATGCACTGCTAATAACTGTAAAGGTGATTTTCTGTGTACTTTATTTTTTGTGGCCTTAGATTCTAGATTTTTAATAGTTGTTTATCATCTAAATATCATCATACACTCACAAACCATACAATAGTAGGCTTCCTGAATTATTAACCTATTGTATATCCCTCCCCAACTTCTATTTAGAGAAGAGAGCAGACTTCTTCAACACATTTCTAATCATAATAGTTTTAATAACTCATCTCTAATAACTGATTTATTTTCTCTTTGTCATGATGACAGCACATAATATTAGACTAGATATTCTTCAAGACACTAGTGTTCAGCTTAAAGTGACATTTAAAGGCTTAACTAGGGTAATTAGGGTAAAGTTAGGGTAATTAGGCAAGTAAATCAAACTAATTAATATTGCTGAAGGGGGTGAATAATATTGACCTTAAAATGGCTTTTAAAACTGCTTTTATTCTAGCTGAAATAAAACAAATAAGACTTTCTCCAGAATAAAAAATATTATAGGAATAACTGTGAAAATTTCCTTGCTCTGGTTAATAATGGGGGCAAATAATTTTTGACCTTGACAAAAGTTGACACTTATGACTGGTTTTGAGGTTCACAACTGGAACTTGAACTTACAATTGGAAATAACTAGTTAAAATACAGTAATAAACACCTTCTAAAGACCTCGAAAGCATGTCTTGGTGAAGGAGGGATGTTACACTTGGGAGTTGCAGATTGGGTCGGCCAGTATCCCGTGGTAAGAACCCTCACTATGAGGTCGACACCACCTAAAGACACCTAGGAAGAGGAAAACATCAAGACAATTAAGGCCGTACTCATACTATGTACAGTTTCCTCGAACCGGGCCAAAGCACGCTTGTCCCCCCTCCCGTCTCCCACGACGGCCCGCACTCACACTACAATCGGGCCTGGGCACGCTTCCGTCATCGATGCTGCGCTGTTCAGTGAGCGCTCTCGCTCAGCACAGTGGAGATTTCTCTAGTTATATTGTTTCAGTCGTTTGATATGCAGTGACATGCAGTCAAATATTTCGCCAAACAGTCCTTAGGGATGCGGAGACACGCAGTCAGATATTTCGCTGAACAGATCCGCCACTTTTGCCGCTCATAAACAATCATAAAGCCCTCGTGCTGCAGGAATGAGGAGGTCTGCTGAAGGTGCAGCTGTGGTGCAGTGAGGGGTTTGCGTCTTTAATAAACTACGGCAGTTTGCGTTCATTGAACAGTAAGAATGAATAATTAATCCATATGAAACAGCCCCTTAAAGTCACGTCTCGCTTTCAGTTTCGGCCTTTGGAGCGTTTTGTAAAGTGAACCGCGCTCAGGCCCACCTCTTCCAACCGGGCCAGGGCCAGCCAAGTGAACAGTGCCTGAGCCCGATTCAGCGCACTCACACTTCTCAAACGATCCGGCAAACAGGCCTGGGCACGGTTCGGATAGCATAGTGCAAATACACCCTAAAGCTGCCCTGGGCGAGACTACTCGTTTAGGCAATCTCAAAGCCTGTGCACGCCAGGACGCTATTTGCTCATGTTTTCCATCGACGTTTAACGCCTCGTGACTAAATAAAGAGCAGCAATGTGATCGTGCACACCAACGCACGAAACGGCAGGCGTAAAAGACGTCATTTTCAAAGAAACGCCTCATGCTTGTTTTGTTGTCGCGCAGCGTCAAAGCCTTCTCCACCAATCAGATCGCACTTTTGTTCAAGTGCACAGAGCTGCTGAATTACAGTAGACAGCACTTGGAGGCGCTCAAGAGCAAAACTGTCAATGCGAGCGCACATTGAAGAAGATGCCCAGAGGCGATATGAACGTTTAGCTGCTTATTACTCTGGTGAACACTAATCATTTCTTCATCACTAGAGCTGCTGCTTGAACCATCCATAACAAAAAGCGTGTCAACTTTCTGTCTTCTGTGTTACAAGCCGGTGTCAGAAGCGTAAAGTTGCGTAGCGCCATCTGACGTAATTTAGTATCGTCTTTTGCGCGACGTCAGTGAAAATCGTTTGGGTTTGAATCCGTAAAAACATCTGTAAATATGCTAACAACAATGAAAAGCATCCCCGTGTGTACGAGACCTCAGATCGATTGGTTTGCCGTGGATCAGAGCATGATTGCGGGTTTCACATATGCCCAAATCAACCAAGCTAACAGGGCAAACGTGCCAGGTTCCCAAACAAACGTCTACGTGGGAAAGCACCCTTACTCACCCCTGTTGATGTGAGGTGCTGCCGAAATTCATCCATGGTTGTGTTGGAGATGCTCATGTCCCTGAACATGCCTTCCAGTTTCGATGTGAACTGACAGCCACATTCTGTCTGTTGAGTGAGAAACAAACCAAATAAGACATGCAGAGTATTGCAGGCACACCACTCGTGTACATTCAGCAGCAGATCTTACTTTCAGCTTTGAGATCATGTTTTTCTCGGAGTCGTCAGAGACGCTCTTGTTAGTGAGGAGTCTTCTGGCCAGATGCTGTTTGTAGTAGCGCTCGAACACATCCTTCTCCTGCATAAACCTGAACAGCACCATGGCTTTATCCAGGATCGACTCCACCTCCTGTTCTGTCAGCTGAGGGAGAGATAAACAAAAGGTTTTTAGTTTTTTTAATTACTGAATTCAACCATCTATATGCACAGCTAGAGCTTTACAGCCACCGATAAACTTCCGGTGAAAAGTTTGTGAGACTATTTTCAATTTCATAAGGTTTATTTTACAGCATTGATGCTTAAATAAGATTAAAACACAATGAGTTAAACAGACTTAAGCATTCATTTCGTTGTTCAATCGTAAAACGAGATGAAAGACCGTCAGGATGAGCAGAATAGCGCAAAAAATACTGGGGTGTGAAATACACATTCCATAAAGACCCACTTTATATCTTATATAAAAAAAATCAGATCTTAAACAGTGATTTTATATGACTACTATTACTATTTAACACCATTTAATGACATTTCAATGACAAATTCAGCTTAAATCACAGTAGTTGTGCTGTTATAAAAAATTTGGACAACAAATATAATTGATAATCATGCTTATGTTGTCTTCCCAATGTCAAGTTGTCATAAAGACATGCAACTGTGTCATATTTACATTCAAAAAGGACAAAACTGAGCAAATGACACAATGAAAGTTGTCAAAAGCCTCCATGAAATGTGTTGAGTCATGATTATATACACCCATGTACACCCTTTCGAGTAAAGTGTTACCAAACCATTTCCTTATCATTCAATTATGAAAGTCTTAAGTGACACTGAATCAAAACAGAGTTATAAAGGGTGGTTGAAAAGTAACTAGGCAATAAGTAAAGGCTAAAGAACTTACTACAAAACACTTAAAGGCTAAAGAAAGGCTGAAGAATCCTGCAAATATGATTCAAATTCGACATCAAATATGGACTTAAAGGGCACATGAGATACCCTTTTTTCATATTTAATTTTTAAGACTTAATTTAAGTCTTTTGTGTCGCCAGAATGTGTCTGTAAGAGTATTTATTAGAGCTGTTTGAAGTGTCTGTATTATAGCTGGGAAAAGGTTGTCGCTGTTTTTTTGCACTGGGCCTTTAAGGCGAGTCATCCCCGCCCACGATCCCACGTGCCTGTCAGCAACATGCCTCAACACGCCCTCGGCTGCCTCAGGAAGCAGATCTCACGTAACGTTTGGGAGAAATACTGCAGTAAGAACTTTACCATCAGTATTTGATGCATTTTTTGTGGAGTTGCAACAATGAGTTCACGCCAATGACTGTAAAAAATATGGACGACGCGACAGCCCTTTTTCCCATTGAACGCCTTGAGGGCAAAACGCCTGCTTGACGGGCACAAACTGTCGCAAAAGACTGCTGAAATTGGAGCCAGACATGCGCAGAAGGATTGTCTGATGGAGCCAGAGGAGGAGCCGCGAAAATGAGCAGAGTCGAGCTTCCAATCAAACGCTTTATGTAAAATCAACCACGCCCCCCGAACTTCACAGCATGCGTTTGCTGTCATATCAACACAAATGGATGTAATAACGTTAACAAATATGAGGGTTTTATATATTCAATCGCGCCAGCTCCAGGCCGCAGCGCATAATCGGCCGCCGCATCTGGCTCGATTGACTCGGGCTGGAATCGGGCAGTGAGTCCAGGCATCCGGAGTAGGTCCAGCAGAGGTAACATTAGTCAGTCTGAGCTCTAAGAGATAAGTCTCCGGCAGGCGAGAATCTAGCCGGAACTGTGTTTTGCTATCTGGGTGGCTAGGCGTGTATCAGCAAACTAATAAAGCCCGAAAAAAGCCCTGAACTTAGCGAATAAACAGTGTTCCACCAGATCATGTATGTCAGAAACTATAGTTTACTGCTGAACTCATTTTGTCATGGTAAAATAACACAGAAATCGAATAATAACATTTCAGTCTACTTCAGTCTCCTGCCGAAGCTCAGACGCCGCGCTTTGAGAAACTGTCAATCACGATGACACGCCCAGCATTAAATTACTGCTAAAAACAAACTGTTTACAAAAATGAAGATCTGCACCTATTTCAGCACAATAACCAGTGCCTTAATCGACCAGAACTATCTTTCGGGACATTTTATTGCAAGTGTAATATTTTTTTTTATTTGGGCTCAAGTCTCCTTCATTAACACGGAGGAGGCGGGCTTTATGACTTGTACTGCAGCCAGCCCCCAGGGGGCGATCTAACGGCCGAAACCTTCACTCAAACACAGGCTTGCGGCACACTTGGTTCACGCACACACAGAGCACACACACACACACACACACATAGCGCAGACACATAGTGCAGACACACACACACATACATAGCGCAGACACATTGCGCAGACACACACACACATACATAGCGTAGACACACACACACATAGCGCATACACACACACACATAGCGCAGACACACACACACACACATAGCGCAGACACATAGTGCAGACACACACACACATACATAGCGCAGACACATTGCGCAGACACACACACATACATAGCGTAGACACACACACACATAGCGCAGACACACACACACACACATAGCGCAGACACATAGTGCAGACACACACACACATACATAGCGCAGACACATTGCGCAGACACACACACATACATAGCGTAGACACACACACACATAGCGCAGACACACACACACACACATATAGCGCACATAGCGCAGACACACACACACATAGCGCAGACAGACAGACACACACACACACTCACACATAGCGTAGACGCACACACATACATAGTGCAGACACACACACACACACACACACACACACACACACTGATGAAGTGAATCTGAAGTGAATGGCTGTACTTCATTACACACGTGCACACGTTTTAAAACATGTTAAACTTGTAAGACTCACTCTTGATCACGTCTGATGATGATTGATGATCCTAGCAAACTGAAACAAACCTTTTATTCCCAGTTGCTTTGCGCTCGTCCTGTCTTGTTGATATGATTATATGCGTTACTACGGAGACATGTTAATGCGCGCAGCTGTCAATCAATATTGGTGGGCGGGGGGACCACACTCCTACGTAAAGTTGCGGTCGATCTGAAAACCGCTCCAATTGGTCCACCGTTTTTATGTTGTTAAATTTGAAAAAAAGGACTGTGTGTGTTTACTTTACCCCAGTATGACAGTATATATACTATACTTACACACACGTCTGTCCAAACAGCTTGAAAAGTAGATATTTCACCATAGGTGCCCTTTAATAAAAGCCTAGTAACTTTTCACTCATGCTGTACCAAAATATTTTAAGCCAAGAATACTGAAGATAAAAATCACTCACTCCTTTCACTCCTTTCTTCAGCTTATCATCAATGAAGAGAGAGAGATACTCAGGCGAGCGGGAGTTCAGGTTCAGGAAGTACTCGAAGTCTCCTGCGATCGTCTGCTTGAATAAACGGTCATTGTTAAAGGACTCCTGCAGGAAGCGGTCAAACCGTGACTTCAGATCCAGAAGACCCTACAGAACGGAGGAAGCACAAATTAAAGAGAATTTTGACCACAGGGTAAATATAGAAATCACAGAGTTAATGTCAATACCGCTTAAAAGACACCTATTAAGCTTTTATAAGGGGTTTGGTGTGGCATTAGATAGTCAGCATCTAATGATAAAAATGAATTGTATTGTTTATAATCAGACTTGACTGACATTCTCCCTTTTTACGTGTCATCAGAGGGGAAAGCCCCGCCCACTAGTGCCCATCTCTCCCTCATTATAATAAACAGCCCTAAGTAAGAAGCAGCCATTATAGTTTTGAATCTGCCACTATGCTGACACAAGGGCATCTGTAGCTCCGCCCTCTTCTGGAAAGAGCACAATGTCATTTGCATTTAAAGCTACAGTCACCAAAATGGCACAAATTGGATCAAAGCCTGAAAGGGGCTATTTCAATCTGAATCTAATCTTCTCCTTCTACTACTAACATGCAAATATACACAAATTCCGACAGACTTCAGCATACAATTATACATATTGTATAATCAAGGCTTATACAAAATGTAATACCTTGTTAAACAGCATTTTAGACTTTTTAAGAGCTGTATATTTCTCTAAATTAATTAATTATAATTAATAACCAGCAGCGTCCTAAGGGCACAGCAAGCCCTGATTTCCCAACGCTCATGTTCTGTGAGTTGTGTATGGTTGGATTTCTTGTGTAGGTACCTGGATGTAGTCGACTGGGTTCTTGCCTTCTCCTTCCTCAGACACCAGAGCTTTGCCCTGCTCCCTCAGATACGAGCTCATACACTCGCACATGGTCTTCAGGCCGTTCGGCACCCTGCTGAATAACTTGTACATGCAAGCCAGATCTGCGTGCACACAAAATAAACACACAAACACACAAAATCAATTTCTTTCTGTTGGAATATTCAGTAATTTCAAATCCAAGGCATGTTAAACATGATGGTACATATAATAGCATGAGCAGTTTGAACTTCAAAATATGAAGTAAAAACTTTAACATTTGACTTTAACTTGTGAAATTCTGCAACATAAAACTGCACATAACAAAAACAGTACACAAGCTCTGCCAATAGGTGGCGCTTGTAGAACAGCAGAAATAACTAGATTATTAAAGTTCGTCTAGACAAATTTTGAGGCTGGCTTGTGAAAGCATGTTGGTAATAGTTTTTTTAGTTTAAATAGTTGTAGGTAGGTAGGTAGGTAGGTAGGTATATAGCTAGGTAGGTAGGTAGGTTGGTAGGTAGCTAGGTAGGTAGCTAGGTAGGTAGGTAGATAGGTAGGTAGATAGATAGATAGATAGATAGATAGATAGATAGATAGATAGATAGATAGATAGATAGATAGATAGATAGATAGATAGATAGATAGATAGATAGATAGATAGATACATAGATACATAGATAGAACGGAGAGATAGATAGAGCAGTGTTCTATAGATTTTCCTTAATGTTCAGTAAGCATTTCTAGCATGTTAAAGTACTTAGCTAATCATTATTAGCATGTTGCTAGTCATTGCTAGCATGTGAACCATACAGGATGTATGGTGCGCTAGCATGAGTCATACAATCCAACCCCCACTTCTCTACGATGTTCTGATGCTGAGATACAACTGCTGTTAAATCGTTGCTAGGTTAGTCTGTTTTGTTGCTATGGAGTTGATTGACAGCTTAAACTGATGATGTATCAAAGCTTCTTGCCAGTATGAACAGTTAAAAACAACCCCCATGTCTCTATAACACTGCAGCATGGGCCTCTATAATGGCAGTCTATGGGACAGTTGCTAGGGTGCGGTATCTGGTTGTTAGGGAGTGGCTAGAAAGTTAAAAGGCCATCAGTGATTGGCTGCTGGCTAGACTGAGTTAAATGAGCTCAGCCATTAGTCTGTAGAACAGTCTGATGCAGAGTTATGAGCTCACAAAGTTTGATCCAATGTAAAGTCAATGATGGTCTTTTGCAGTGGAAGTCTGAGGGACAGTTTCTAGGGTCCCAAAAGCGGTTGCTAGGGCGTGGCCAGAAAGTTAAAAGCTCATCAGTTATTGGCAGTTAGGTAGTCTGAGTTAAATGAGCCCAGTTAGATGTCTGTGTGAAAGTCTGATGCAGAGTTATGAGCTCACAAAGTTTGGTCCAATGTTAAGTCAATGGGATTTTTCCGACGGTCCCGGGACGTTTTTTCCGAAAACCGAAAGTCGGATCAGTCGGAAAAGATATAGCAACCTGAGTCTAGGAGGAGAAAGGCGGAGAAATAACATCATGTATGCATCGACATATAGCACCGAGGTGCTCACGGCGAGCCTAAATAAATTAAGCCAGCCTAATGATGCTTCCTTGATCTGCACAAGAAAGAAGAGCTGCTGTTATTTATTTATTTTTAATAATTATTTGTTTTACTGGTTTTCACCGCTGTTGTCATAGGACAGTGAAGATGTAAAGACAGGAAAGTATGGGGAACAGAGATAGGAGAAGGATCAGAATCGAACCCCGGTCGCCGTGAGCACCTCGGTGCAGCTATACGTCGATGCATACATGATGTTATTTTATATCTGTAATCGAACCCAATACCTAAACCCAACTACTACCTTAATACCCATTAATAATCGGTGAATTAGTGAATGGTATATTAACAGGGAGAATTGTTACTTAAAATAAAGTGTGACCAACAAATGCAATATTAAAAGAGTGCGAGATTTGAAGAGCGCACCTTCAGTCTTTCCATTCTTGAGCATGTGCACCAGCCCGGAGTTCTCCATCTCCACAATGGTCTTCATGTGTTTGGAGATCAGCTCTCGCTCCACCACCTTCACTATGGGCTCCTCTGTCGATTTATCCAGGCAGTGTATAACCCGCTCAATCTCCTCGTTTATCCGCGCCTCCACCTTCTTTATGTACACACTCGCACTGTTCTCAGCTAAAAACTTTTGGCTTTCCATCTGAGGGAAAAAAATATATGTAAAAGAATTAAACCACAAAAGAAAGTGCTGCAAAAATAAGACAAAAAAATGAAGACAGGTATTTATCCTTACAGTTTTAGTGTGTCGGTGGGGTTACCCTTTGTTTCGTTCGTTCATTCATTCGTTCGTTCGTTCGTTCATTCATTCAGTCTTTCATTCGTTCGTTCATTCATTCATTAGTTCATTCGTTCTTTCATTCGTTCATTCATTCATTCATTCGTTTGTTCGTTCATTCATTAGTTCATTCATTAGTTCATTCGTTCATTCATTAGTTCATTCATTCATTCATAAGTTCATTCATTCATAAGTTCATTCATTCATTCATCAATTCATTCATTCATTCGTTCATTCATTCGTTCATTAGTTAATTCATTCATTCATTAGCTCATTCATTCATTCATTCATTCATTCATTCGTTCGTTCATTCATTCATTCATTCATTCATTCATTTATTTATTCAATCGTTCATTCATTCGTTCATTCATTCATTCATTTGTTCATTCATTCATTCGTTCATTCATTCATTCATTTATTTTCCTCCAGCTTAGTCACTTATTTATCACCTCTAACTATTCTGGCACATGTTTTACGTAGCGGATGCCCTTCCAGCAACAACCAAGTACTGGGAAACGCTCATACACACTCACATTCACACCCACACACTCATACACTACGGCCAATTTAGGTCATCAATTCCCCTATAGCGCATGTGTTTGGAGTATGGGGGAAACCAGAGCTTTGGGTCATGACCGAAAGGACAAGATCTCTGATACAAAAGAATGTAATGAGTTTCCTTCGCAGGGTGGCACGGCACACTCTTATGGAAAGTGTGAGGAGCTCTGACACCCAGGAGGAGCTCGGAGTAGAGCCACTGCTCCTGCACATCGAGAGAAGTCAGCTGATGTGGCGCAGGCATCTGTTTCGGATGCCTCCTGGATGCCTACCTACGGAGGTGTTCCAGGCATGTCCCACCGGCAGGAGGCCTCAGGGAAGACCCTGGACACGCTGGAGGGACTATGTCTCTGGCTGGCCTAGGAAAACCTCAGCATCAGGAGGAAGTGTCTGGGGAGAGGGAAGTCTAGGGTTCTCTCATAAGACTGCTGCCCCCACGACCCGGTCCTGGAAACGCGGCAGAAAATGAATGAATCTGCACAAACCTGAAAGAATTCAGCAGACATTTCTAAAAACGGTGCTTCAAAGTCCTCTTCATACACAGAACGTCCTTCCAAACCCAAGATCATTAGCATTTGACAAGCATTACGGATGGCGCCCCTGAAAAAAACACAGAACATTAAATATATAATCTACTTTTGTGTGTTTGCAGAAATACACTTACTATGTTTTGTTTTTGTTTACTCCATGTAGTTCTGAGAGCTGAGATGTTAAAAATTAAGACCCAAAAATCACACCCAGAGTGGATGAAAACATTCCCAACAGCCCACAAGGGTTAAACATGAATAAACTCACCTATCCACCACCTCTCCTTTTCTCTCGCGGGCAATCATATCTAGTAAAGTCTGTCTTAGATGGTCCCGAATGCACCCGTATCGAACCACCTGATCTCTGAAGATGATGAGACCCAGATTATACACGTTCTCCACATTATTCTGCTGAACATACACACGGTCCTATACAAAGACAGAAGAGGGAAAGAAAAAGAGTTCAGTATTATTAAACTGAACTTAACGTAAATGAAGCCAACTGTAAACCAAGTAGAATTTGCCTGATACGCTGAATAGTCTCCATAACCTTAAATTATAAACAAAATCAAAACACTGTGCGATTATTAAGACAAAACAATTAAATTTTTTGACAGCCCTAATACATAAGCTCTGCACATTCTCCATGTTCCTTATCCAAACACACCTGATACAAATCATCAGCTCATTAGCAGAGACTGAAAGACCTGTGATGGGTGTAACAAGCAATGGAAACATCCAAAACATGCAGTGTTGGTGATCCTTCAGGACTGTGGTTGAGAAACACTGGGCTACATCAATGGGCTGTATTTTAACGATCTAGGTGCAAAATCTAAAGCACATGGTGCAAAAGCATTAAGGGTGTGTCCGAATCCACTTTTGCTATTTTAGGGATGGAAAAATCTGCTCTGCGCCCGGCACACGGTCAACAGGGTTGTGCATATTCTCTTATGGAGTTATGAGTGTGTTTTGAGAATAAACCAATCAGAGTCTCATCTCTCATTCCCTTTTAGAGCTCGTTGTGTCGCGCCATGGTGCATTTGCTATTTACATGGCAACTTTGTAAGTGGAAAAACTGAACGCTTCACTAGCGAGAAAACAGTTCAACAGAGCATCTGCAGCGCGAGGATAAAGAACGAGCCTCCTCCATTCAGCCTCTTTACTTTCACTTTCTCTCTTTCGTGGTTAAGGAAACGTGTTGTAAGCACAGACATCCATTAGCCCACATATTTAATTTCCTTTGTTAATCACAAAGATTTGTGTCAAAACTATTTCTAAATTCAGTTCTAATTTCGAGCAAACGAATACATGAACAATAATAACGAAGTGTGCTCAAAAAACAGAGTTATATCCAAACACACGTCCAGTTCTTATGCCCTATATGGTCCAAAAACCTGACAGGTGGACAAATCTAAGATTGTTCTTAATAAAACAAATATAAATCTGCCTATAATAAATAATACTAATAATAATAACATTATATTAATGCAGACTGTCATGAATAAACTGAAAAAGCCCTCGAGATGAAGGAAGCATGGAGGCGGTGACCTGCTCTCAGCTCTCAGTCTATTTTAGTTCCTCAAAATAGCAACGTGTCAACAATGCACCTTAACACACCTCTTTTCTAGACCGAAATCCCCATGAGTCCACAAAATGGCACAAATGCGCCGGGTGTATGATAGGGTCAAATATGTCAGACATACAAAAGAACACTTTTTAGTGTTTTGATCCACTCTGTTTGATTGCTTTTTAAAAAAATATTGTTTGCATATCAAAAAATAAAAAATAAAAACATTCTAAAGCCGTATGACAATGGGAAAATTATTATTATTTTTTTGGTTAACTACTGCTTTAATACTGTTTAATTCAATTTTCGATTTTTTTTATAATTATATACAGGGCTCGAAATTGCGACGATTATGGTCGCATATGCGCCCGAAATTTTACCTATGCGACTTCAAAATGTTGTTGGGAGCATTTCTGCAAGTGCAAAAAATTGCTGTGTGCTACCAGTTTTTACTGCAAAATGTTCACCACATGCGCGGATTCGGGAGACATGCACGCAGAATGCATCTCTGCACTTGAAACACGAAACGCAGCGCTCGGGAATGGTTTAAAACAGTTGTCATGTCAACTTGCTGCAGTAAACAAAGCCAAGTCCGTAATGCTTGCCCCGCCTTCGCGCTCTTCTTATTGGCCCACAACTGCTCTAGCACTGAAATATCAGCTGTCAATCACTCAGTCAATGCCTTCGTGCTTGCGATGACAGAGAGAGCTGCTACCGTGAAAAACTGTAAAGCGCTGAAGATGAGAATGAAGATAACACTGACAGATTTTGTTTTAGAAACCATGACATCTAAAGTTACAAATAATGACACATCGTACTAGTGATCATGTGCTGAATGTTAATCCACCATCTACACTTTTCCAAGAGTGGATAAGACTTCCAGTGGCTTCAAGTCCGCTATGAAAAGTCTGTGGGATGGAATTTTCGGGTAACTGTTTGCCACATCTAGCACGAGAGCTTCTGTTTAATCCTTCATATAATCGCCAGATGCTGTCCGCCGTGCAAGTGGCAGCTATAGGTCAAATTAAACACCACGTACACCATCGCAAACGGGCTTACACTGACTAAACTAACATCGCTACTTATGAAAAGACCGGTAATGCTATTAACATGACGTATGCATATAATAAGGAACAGTACATGTCAAAAGCATCAGTGCAATATCAGACAGCACCCGTGAGAACAGCACAGTTATACCGTTAACAGATTCATTCATGTCAAGCAGTGCGTGCAGGGCCGGTGAGCGCTCCGTGTATCTTTTGGTTGTTATAAAAATCTATTTTCTTGTGATAACGGGATTTCGTTGAGACATATTTTTTTCTCACGCTTGCTTGCATATATATATATTTTTCTTGTTACTGTTGATTTCAAATGCAATAAATATAATTGTATAACACTTGTAGTAACGGTGCTTATAATTGGTGGGTATGACCTCAATTTTGGCTGATGAGCCTAAATTTTTAAAGTTAGGAGCACCAGTGCTACCAAGCAAAAAGGTTCATTTCGAGCCCTGTATATAAGAAAAAAAGAGAGAGAGTGCGTTTTAAATTTATTGCCATATCAGCTTCTCATATTCACAATTCGTGGCAAAAACTAATTAAATTAAAGATATTGTTATAAATATCACTTTCTATGATAATAAAAAATAAATAACAAAAAGACATCAACTGCAATAAATTATATACAAGATATAAATCTAAAACGAGTTTTTTACGGTTTATTCTTGATAAAAATGTAATTAAAAACATTTCCTTTAAAGTCTGCCCAAATAAAAATCTAACATAAATATAATTACAAGCGCATCTTCCCAGAATAACCAAAGAACTGAAACCTTTCAAGCCATGTAAAATACTGCCAGTAAAAAAAAAAAAAAGAAGTATTATGACAGAAAAACAAAAGACCCACCATGTACATCAGGATGTCTCTGATCATCACCATAGCCGTCTGGTGGTCATTCCAGGCCTGATTTAGTGTTTGTAGGAAGTTGTTATTCAGGGAGTTTAACACATCCTCACGTACCTTTGGACAGAAAAGCCGACATGAGTGAAGAACAATCAAGAATTCTTGAAATTCAAGCTAGCGAGAAGTAACCAACTCCATCTAATATTACACGACACCATTTTTACAGCTGTTTACACCAGAATTAATGTTCATTTAATAATAGATGTTAATTCATTCTGATATAAACAGGTATAAAAAAAAAATTGGTGCAGTAAATATTTTCATTTTGGGTGACACAGTGGGTAGCGCTGTCAAGTCACAGTAAGAAGGTTGCTGGTTCGAGCCCTGGCTGGGTCACTTGGCATTTCTCTGCTTGCTGCATTTTCCCTGTGTTGACGTGGGTTTCCTCCCAGCTTCCCCCACAGTCTAAAGTCATGCGCTTTAGGTGAATTTTTGTACGCTAAATTGTCTGAAGTGTATGTGTGTATGTCCTGGTCCTCCAGGTTGGGGGTTTAGCGTTGTGCAGTTACAAAAAGCAAGTGCATGTACCGAATCATCTGGTGCTCAGAGGTGATATGCAAACTATTGAAATGAAATGCTTCCATAATTGACACCAGCATCCTCATGGCAGAAGATGTACGTTTAAGGCACTTACTTTGTTGATTAGATGTTCTGTGACCACCTCCCTCAGGCCTGTATAGAGCTTCTCTCCGTGTTTGTGCAGGACCATGGTGTAGGCGTTCCTGTAGAGCTCCTCGAAGCTCAGCCCACTGTTGTTTTTCCTCTGGATCTCTTGAATGGCGTTCTTCAAGAGGTCCCAGATGTTATTGACATACTTTTCGTCCATGGTCATCTGAGATGGGGTGGAGATAAACCAAAAGCGTAATCCATTAGGAGAAAAAGTGAAGCATTACAGTGTGTCAGAAAATACTGTAATGTAATATATTTTTATAGGGCATCTATCGTGTATGGCCATACACCCAAAGTGCTTCACAATCATGAGGGGGGGGGGGGTGTCTTCACACCACCAACAGTGTGCAGCATCTATTTGCATGATGCAACAGCACCAGTGCTCCACCACACACCATCTATAGGAGACAGTGACACAGCCAATTCAGTGGATGGGGATGATTGCAAGGCCATGATCGGTAAAGGTCGATAGAGGGAATTTGGCCACCTACTCTTTCCGAGAAGTGCCATTTAACAACGTCTCATATGAAAGACAGCGCTCACTAACAATATAGTGTATCACTATACTGAGGCATTAGGACTCACTACAGGTTGAGCACCCCCTGCTGGCCTCACTAACGCCACTTCCAACAGCAACCTAGTATCCCCATGTGGTCTCCCATCCAGGTACTGACCAGGCTCAGCCCTGCTTAGCTTCAGTGAGTAACCGGTCTTGGGCTGCAGAGTGATATGGCTGCGGCCATATATAATGACAATTAAATTTACACAGCCTACAGAGCTTTAGTGAACATCCGATTTTTTAATTCCTAAACCTGAACATCGTTAAGCTCCTTCATTTGTATGGTTGCTCTCCTGTCATTTGTTTAGTACATTTTATGCAAATCCACTCATGTACAAAATCCTCCCAATCAATATAAAATTCTTAATTATTTCCAAATGGAGCTATTAACAGTTTTCTGGTGAATATCGTGAAGCACTAATATCGAACCATTTCTGTTACTTCAATCAGTTACTAATTAATATTATATATATATATATATATATATATATATATATATATATATATATATATATACTATTATTTTGCATTTAAAAACTAGATTTGATGTCACAAAGTTTAAATACAGCTATAAAACTGCAATCCTCACGCATTTGTGCACAAGCATCTCGATGGATGTGATTTAAATCAGGAAAATAGGGATCCATAACATTTTCTTTTAGAAACAAAACATCCTCTGACTCAGAGTAAGTGTACAGCTTACATTTATAAAACTAATCCCAATACATTTAGGTTAAAGTTGGTTTCATATTCGCACATTCAGACTTTCTCCCTAATATAATTTCAGAAAAGTATTCTTCGCCAATTCCAAACAGTGAAATCATATTAGCAGCCAACGACTATTAAAATACAACATTGTTTACAGTCAATTAAATAGTGCTAATGTTGTTTTCAAGTCAGACTTCAGGGCTCAACAATAAGGACTGCCCGGTGGCCAGCGTGAGAGACACTTGGGACAGTAGGCAGGATCATTACTGGCCCGATTAGGACAGTGCTGCTTTGTCACTAAAGTTTAATTTGCCTGTGACTTTTTGTCAATTGCGTGCATTTTAAGTTTGTGCTTTTAAGTCTTTAAATGCTATCTTCTCTGTGATGACGTAGATACTATATTGCTTTTCGGTTCCTCTTGGTGTTTTGAGCATGCTGTTTTTCCCCATAACCTGGTGACAATCAGTACAGTGAAGAAACGGCAACATGGCGACAACATCACATTATAAGGCTAAAAGAAAATGTCATGTTCCTGACGTCTTGGAAGCAGACATTTACGTGGGAACAACATGACAAATAAATGAAATGATGTTTTGCACAGTTTGCCGTCAGCTTGGCAAGTCAGCCACCTTTTGTTAAAAAATTTCTGCAATGAAACCCCTCCACATTTTCCATAATGCTCTTTTTGTTTGCATAACACTTTTTTGCTCACAATTTTGCTCATGAAACATTTATTAACTTTTTTAAGTATTAAAATGCTAGACTCACAGACGTTATTTTTGACATATTATTTATTATATGTGGCTAAAAAAAGCTATTAACTTCTATTTTTTCTTTTTTAGTGGGGCCAGTAAAAATTTTAGCAGGGCAAGTAAAAATCTAAACCACTGGCCCGGTCGGATCAGTAGAAAAAATCCTCAGCGTTGAACCCTGGACTTGCATGCGATTTCAGACCCAATATTCAAAGTAGCATGATAAACAATACAGTGACTGTCAAGTTGTCACCTTGTTTAAAAAAAATGAATAAAATGTGCGAATGTAAAACCAACTTTACCTCAGTTCATATTTAGTTGATCTAGATATGGGAAACGGTGTACATACCCAAATCAAAAATGCATCATTTAGTAAATATTAACTAAAAACGTGTCACGCCATCCTTTAATTTGCGTTGACCATGTGTGAGGCAATAATACACACAGTACAACACATGATGCAAAAAGTAAACGCAGACAAATATTTGAGGTAAAATTGGATTCATATTCGCACACTCTTTCATTTTTTAACAAAGTGACAACTTGTGACTATTGTTTATCACATTACTTTGAATATTCTGTCTAAAATCGTAGCAAGTATGACTTAAAAACAACATCAGCACTATTAAAATGACTGTGCACAATGTTGTGCTTTGATAGTCATTGACTGATAATATTATTGGCACTTTTATAAAATTATATTAGGGAGAAAGACTGAATATAAAACCCACTTTACCCCAAGAGACAAATAAACCTCCCACATATATCACCATCTGCAATATCTTATCGTACTTAATTAATTAGCAGCTAGTTGTAACATATGTTCACCAAGGCCCCGTGTATATTTAGACCATCATTACGCATTTATTTATGCTCATCTGCTACTATTAAAAATATCAGCCAGCTAAATTAACAGGCTTGTTCCTCTGTAGTAAACTGCACTTAAGCAACGCAAGTTCTAAAGCTGGTCAATATGCTGACACTTCTCTCATGATGGTTGTATTAGAGTAAAGTTGGTTTTATAGTCACACATTCAGACTTTCTACTTCATAATGTAATGTGCTTAATGTGAAAATCATATTATCAGCCAATGACTATTAAAGTACAACATTGTTTACATTCAGTTAAATAGTGCTAATGTTGTTTTCAAGTCATACCTACATGCGATTTCAGACCGAATATGAAAAGTAGCGTGGTAAACAATGTGGGGCCTGTGTCATGAGTTGTCAGGTAATGAATGTGCGAATATAAAACCCAACTACACCTCAATATTATTTGAGAGTTTTTGGGACGACACTAAAGCAGTGTAAAGGGATTTAAACACAGAGGCCTGCATGTCCGGCTGAATCCCCGGAGCTCGAGTGACTGTCACGCCGGCTCGGAGAGCACATACTCACAGGAAAGGCTCGTATCCTCATCTTGGTGTCTTTTTTAGTGCCCCCTTTGCTGAGATTTGACATGTCTGGCTTATTCCCCGCCGTTGTCCCCTTTCACATGAAAGTCTTCTCTGACAAAAGACGGGGAGCACATATAATGAGGCCGCTCTGAGCCTCCGCTTGACCCGCTTTATGGTTCACTCTCTTCGGACTTGTTGACAAGCGTTTCTCGTAGTGCTCCTTTCGGACTCCAAGAGATGGCGGACCAGCAGCTCTCGCAGATTCTCGGCACTCACAGGGAACTCACGCGAGATCTTTCATACGCAAAATAATGGATTTTTCTGCTTGTTCCAACTACTTATGTAAAATGAACTGAAACAACACAATTCTTAAGTGTTTTTTGGGGGGACAACCTAATTAATTTGTGTTGGGACAGCATTAAAGAATTGTGTGGAACCCATCGTTACTTACAGTGTATTAATAGATTTTTAATATACTTAAATTCCACTTTGTATATATATATATATATATATATATATATATATATATATATATATATATATATATATATATATATATATATAATAGAAAGGCAACAGTAACTCAAATAAGCACTCGTTACAAGTGAGGTCTGCGAGAGAGTCTGAGCATCTCTGAACACACAACACGTCCAACCTTGAGGCGGATGGGCTACAGCAGCAGAAGAGCACACCGGGTGCCGCTCCTGTCAGCTAAGAACAGGAAACTGAGGCTACAATTCACACAGACTCACCAAAACTGGACAATAGAAGATTGGAGAAACGTTGCTGCTCTGATGAGTCTCCATTTCTGCTGACACATTCGGATGGTCGGTCAGAATTTGGCATCAACAACATGAAAGCATGGATCCATCCTCCCTTGAATCAATGGTTCAGGCTGCTGCTGCTGGTGTAACGGTGTGGGGGATATTTTCTTGGCACACTTTGGGTCCATTAGTACCAATTAAGGATTGTGTCAACACCACAGCCTACCTGAGTATTGCTGCTGACCATGTCCATCCCTTTATGAGCACAGTGTCTCCATCTTCTGATGGCTACTTCTAGCAGGAGAACACACCATGTCATAAAGCTCAATCATCTCAGACTGGTTTCTTGAACCTGACAATGAGTTCACTGTACTCAAATGGCCTTCACAGTCACCAGATGTCAATCCAATAGAGCAGCGAAGGCAAAAGGGGGTCCAACCCTGTACTAGTAGGTGTACCTAATAAAGTGGCCAGTGAGTAAATCGACACATTACATTTAATTCAGTTGCTTAAAAATATTTTATTGTCCCAGTCAAAAAAAAAAAAAACTATTTTCAAGAGTAACATAAGAATGTCATGACACCTTTATAACACTGAAATATTGAGATTTTATGCATGCTTATGTAAAGTTTTATTAATCCTTATTCAATCATTAATATAAAAAAACGTAATTATACAGAGGTTTATTCATAAGATGTATTATATTACACATTAATTTGTTTTTATTTAGGTCTACCCCTGCCCCAACCCAGCCATCACATGGAAAAAAACAGTAATTGTATTAAGTATTACTCTTATTGTTGATTCAATTATACAATAAATTGTATTTTATTAACATCTAAGCCTGTAACATCTACTGTAATGTATAAATATTAATTATTGATGTACACAGTGTCACAAAAAAAAATCCCCAGCTGTATCTCTTCTGGACTTTACCACCGATGCGTTCAGTCCGTCGCCTGTGAATGACGTCATCCCTGCTGGCCACGTTCCCCTGCCCATGTGTTATTAGCAGTCTGTGTATATTTTTTTCAGTGGTGTTGTGATCTCTAATAAATCATAGTCACAAGTTTTCAGTCACAATCATCATCATGTCTTCAAGCTGCCGCAGACCCGAACACATGGCACCTCCGGAGGTGGTGAGTGGACGGAATATTCTTACTCTAACTTATGTGCTTATGTGTAAAAATGAGGCTATTAAAACATGATGGTGTTCAACGTAACACACGAGAAATGCCTTGCTATAATACTGTACTATTTTTATTATATAGTTATCCCTCATGAGAAAACAGTACAGTTATTTACAGTAAGTACAGCAGTGTATTGAAAACATACTATAGTAAAGTTAAAGTGTGTCATGTTGCCCACATAATAATAGATTATAATATTAATAGAGGTAAAGTTGGTTTTATATTCGGTTATTCAGACATTCTCCTTAATAATATAATTTCAGAAAAGTATTCTTTGCAAATTGTAAATAGGGAAATCATATAAGCAGCAAATGAATATCAAAGTACAACATTGTTCACAGTGAATTAGATAGTGTTAATGTTGTTTAGAAGTCATACTTGCATGCTAATTCCGATCGAATATTTAATGTAACATGGTAACCAATATAGAGACTGCTATAAACGAATGTGCGAATATAAAACCAACTTTACCTCTATACAATATTATAGAAAATATTACAATATATACAACCCCAATTTTAGAGAAAGAAAAAGGTATGGAAACTACAAATAGAATAGAAAGTAGTGATTTCTAAAATTACTTTATGTGTTTCTCTGATTTATTGTTTATTTTTTCTGTTGTTTTTTTTTACAAAAGAAACACGTATTACGATTTTGATTCTTGCAACACATATCGAAAACAGTTGTAGCGTTAAAGCATTTACCACCTTGTAATGCTGTCGTTCCTATTCACAACACTTAAAAGATTAAAAGACAGCAAGTGATGAAGTGTTTCTGCTGTAATTTTGTCCCAGTTTACCTGCAAACAAGTCTTAAGGTGGGCAACAGTATGGGGTCTTCGTTGTTGCATTTTGGACTTCAAAATGCGCCACACATTCTCTATTGGAGACAGGTCGGGACTGCAGGCAGGCCAGTCAATTACCTGTATCCTCTTCCTCCACAGCCAGGACTTTGTAATGTGTGCAGAATGTGCTTATGCACTGTCTTGTTGGAATATGCCTGGAAAGGAGGGCAGCAAATTGTGCTCCAAAATATCTTTTCAGCATTAATGGTGCATCAAAGAAGTGCAAATTACCTTTGCCAAGGGCACTGACACAACCCCATACCTTTCATCTTTGGTCCGGAGTACACAGCATCCATTTCTCCCCAAAAATACCTGAAATACTGATTTATCTGACCACAGTGCACGTTTCCGCTGTGTGATGGTCCATCCAGATGCCTCCCAGAGCAGTCAACAGCGCTTTTGGACACTGTTAACATAGGGCTTCCTTTTGGCACAGTAGAGTTTTCACTGTCATTTGTGGATGTAACTCTGTATTGTGGTATTTGACAAAGGTTTACTGCAGTATTCCTGAGCCCATGTGGTGATCTGGCTTATGAATGAGGATTCTTGATGCAGCGCCCCCTGAGGGATCGGAGATCACAGTTGTTCAGCTTAGGCTTGCTAGGGATGGCTGACGTGAAACTGACGTTTTGACACAATGTCGAGATCCCGAAGCGCAAGTGTTTCGAAACACTGCACCGAAGCATGATCCGAAGCACCCAAGTCACGTGACTCAAGTGTTTCGAAACACCTAGTCACGTGACTAAAGCGTTTCAAAGCATCGATCAGCTTAGAAACGTTTCGAGACCTGGCGGGTCTGCATTTGGCTGACAAGGTCAAGAAAAAACTCTGTCTCTTATGGCCTAGAGGACTGTGCGTGTTTCTATGCTGTGCATGATGTTTACGGTTCGAATCCCGACTTGTACATATATGGTTTTATGTATTTTAATCACGTTTCTGTTTTGTGTAGCCTAAATAGGATACAGCTGCAGTTACGCCATCAATTTAGCATCATTTTTGTAACACTGCAAAAAAATAATAAATATTTTTACAGTATGCTTGGGTTTAGGGTTTGGGTGGACATTAATAAAATACCATAAATGGGAAATTTAATGAATAATATAAATAATTCTTGATAACTTCAGGCCACCGTTTCTGATCTAGCATTAGATCCCTGTTTTAAGACCAAAACAAGACATATTTATTCACAAATTGTTTATTCGGATATCAGACCAATGTTGAAACAAAACGATACAAGAGCAAAGCATTGCCAACTGGTATTAAAGCATTTCAAAACAACTTAATCAGGCTGGCCTACTGTCCCCGCATGGAAGTCTGACACCTAATCCATTGTACTATATTACTTGAAGGACCAAGCATACAAAGTGGGCTTTAATGCCTCAATTTGCTCAACTGTTTTT